CGCCACTGCTGAACAAACTCAGCGAGACCGCCACCAAAGAAATAATTCCGATCGCGAAATAACTGTCAGCGCCGCTTCGTACAGGGAGTCTCACGCTGACAACTCTGGACCTAAGTCCTTGTCGCGACACCTGTCGCCATCGCTGTGTCGAAACTCAACCTCCCTGTGACGAGCTCTCACCTGGCGCTAAAATCAATTGACCAGAGACATTTGAAGACACTTGAAACTCCTTTGACAACAAAGACACCCACTCGATCGAAAAAGAATCTTCAAAAGCCAGCTCACTGCGCGTCCCAAACTTTGACGTCACATTTTGATGATTGATATCAAGTACACAAGTGCTGGTTTTCGCTGGCCGGGGCTCAAATACTGGTCGGTCTCAGTTCCTGGAACTTTTGAGTGCAAGATACAAACCAACTATATTACATGTCACGATTACATAGTCTACACACTATACCCGAGAGACCTCTTTTGGGTAGTGGTGCATAACTGTGTGAAACATGAAGTTGCTACAGTGGAGTCTGAACACCCTGAGGAAGGTATACACTACCTATCACAATAACGGTCAAGCACATGTTTTCAACTTAGATTATCCTAAAAGGTTGGATCAGCAAAAATGAATGAGTTCATCTCAAAGCTTCCCTTCACATCTCAGTGTTCCTGTGGAGAATCGTGCAGTGGTTAAGACCATTGCAGCACAGGGTAGCAATTTCACAGGTTTGTTTGTTAATGCTTCATGAGATGCAACTTACCTCAGTAACCTCATCAGGTTGGTGTGGATTGGCTTTGCTGTCCAGTAGATGCCGCATACAGTCGATATGACCCCACTCACTGGCATAGTGAAGTGGTGGCTTTCCCACCCATAACACACAGTGGCGTGTCCAGGATTTGGCTAAGGGGGGTTGCGGCCGGGATCAAGGCGGGATGGGGTGGGGGTAGATGACATCATGCTACTGTATCACGTCAGTCATTTTGAAAACCGATGTCAAGAAGCTTCTCCTGTAGCCCCCTTCTTCAACAGTTATTCACCCGAACGGCCCCAGAGACTGTTCCGGATGATCAGCGCACCACACGGGGACAAATGTCGAACTTGCTTCAAGTTCCCTTTCTTCGCGGGGGACGATCGACCATGATGTTTCGCGGAAGCATTCTCTGGAACGCTCTCCCCTCTGATTTTAGAGTGATACGTGTCCCTGGTCCCTTCCGAAAAGCTCTTTCTGCCATTGATATACTTACTTTGTGAATATCCTCGTTAAACTTTATTATCTGCCATAAATTCCAACCTTCTCATCTATCAATCATTTGTGCATGCATGTCTATAAAATCAACCACGTGTTCCTGACTCCATGAAATTGTCTTTCTATTCTTTGACTCCATCAAATTATTGTCTTTCTATTTCTGACTCCATGAAATTGTCTTCATATAAATTTTTCCTTTTCTTCTTTTGGTCCTTTCTGTCTTATAATATTATCATTAATTTTCTTGTTTTCCCTTGCATATCATCCCTTCATCATTCTGTGAGAACCTGTCCTATGGGCAGGTGAGAAGGCATCTCTGCCTGTTCATTTGGTGAAGTAAAATAAACAACAACAACAACTATGCCCCACCACATATACTCTCGCTACACACTGCAAGCAACGTGCAACCTTCGTATAATTTACGCCGCTCTCGTACTTGGCACTTGCCAACTCCGCGGACTGACCGCTGTCTCCATTCTCCCCTGTACAAGGCCCTTCATTACTTTAATTGCCTGCCCACCCAGCTTCGCGAAATCCCTTCTCGTACTCCCTTCAAATCCGAGATATCCCTGCTGTTGCAAAACTCTGTATGCTCGTGTAGCGACCACCCCTGCCCTTACACTTAAGTACACAACTCTGTATGCTCGTGTGGCGACCACCCCTGCCCGTACACTTAAGTAGTCATTAACCCCTAGGCCCTGCCCACCCAATTCTTCCTCACTCTTTCTCCTTTCTTACACTATTATCTCTTATTGGCCACTGGCTATCGTGAGAATAAAGATTTGAAACAAGCCGTAAATCTCACACACCGCGAGCAGTATTTCTGTACACGCAGCAACAATGTACCTTGTAAACTTCAAATTTGCCGTTATGTGAGCGAATCAACTGCAAATATTTATGCGAGTCCAACAATTTCTCACCGCTCTCAAAGCATCCTTTACATAGGTGGCAGTACTTGTCACTGTGCGCTGTTCTTAATGTTCTGGCTGCTCGCTGACAACAGGTTCTTCCACGTCTGGCGAAGTGTGACTGTCAGTCCGCTCCGAAAGTTCAACTGGAATAAAAGTGACTTCATCACTCCCACTGTTTCCTGTTGGAGTGGCAGCAGGAGTTGCACCGCCGCAGGAACGCTTTACAAAAATTCCAGGCTCTGCTGGCTAGAGCGTGGCCCGTTGGGATGTCGCTGAGACATCGAAGAAAAGTCTTCGAGTGAACCAAAACTCGATTCGAACGAGGATGATCGCCTGAGCCCTCGGCATTCGAATCGTGTTTTGGTTGATTCGATCGAAGACTTTTCTTTGATGTTTGTACGTAACGTTGAAGACACGTCGAGCGCGTCCCATCAGGGATCGCACTGTACAACAGTACACAGTCAGGTCACCGTGTTTTTGTAGCCGTGCATGCTCACTGTACGTACTCTGTAGACTGTACTGTACTAGTCTGTAGTGTGTACAATCAACACTAGCTCGAGTACCGTAGATCTACCGTGCAACCGCTTTTGGACGATCGTTTCAGGCCGCGCGCGCCCCGAGCCTAGTCTAGCTAGCCCCGGCGCCCTGCCTTTTATTAGTCGAAACCTAGGTCGAAACTTTTGGGGGGGGGGGGCGCACCCCGCGCCCCCCTAAACCCGCCACTGACACAAGTGAATGTTTAGGAAGTAGCCAACAAAGAACATGGCTCACTATGAGAGCTGATTGAACGCATTGGATGCCACATGTTCATCTGTGGAGGATACATTGATGTGAAACAGAGCAAGTGGCAGCTTTGAGCCTGTTGATTCCAGAAGACTCCTAAAGTTATCACCAAATGTGCTCTTCGACCAATCACATTCATAACACAAGCAACATGTCACTCCGAGTTATGACATAATTATAGTGATTCTTCACATAACTGTTTTTGATGAAAGAGAGAGGGGTGTAATCGGGATCTGTTGTGACTTGTTTTTTGGAATAACCATTAAGCAATAAGCATTAAGCATTGAATACTTTTCCAGCAGTTTTCCAACATAGTCTAAGATATATTTATACAGTAGTGTGCTCACTATTTCGTATTTTGCTGCTTCGTTGCCATAGTGATTATGCCGAACCAATCAGGTTTAGAAGAGCACAATGCTCCAGTGGTTTTTCTTCCCCAATAACATATTTGTGAACTTCATTCTTGTGTCACGTTACTCCTTCCTATAATAATACCAAGAGTATAACCCCCAAGAGGGTGAAACACTGCATATGGGGTCTCCGACGGCAAAAACTCACATCACATGTCTCAGGTACGTTCACACTACGTACAAATGAAGGATAGCGTGCGAGCAATCCGAATATCTGCCATGATCATGCTGGGGATTTGCATACCCGCAGTGAGTTTCTGTCAGAGAGGATTTTTTATTACTCCATTGCTCGCTAAAAACGGGCTGGAAACGTACAACTGCGACACTACGCCACGTGATGTGAGTTTTCGCCGTCGGCGTACCCCATAGAAAGGGTATCAGAAGTTGTACACTTTTGGAGGCTTATATACTTTTTATTACACTCATAAAACTGTAGTGCTGTCCTATGAAAGTGTCTTAGAAAAGGACCGTTTATCCAGAGCAGCTAACACGTCATATACTGTCTTTGCTACTTTCTGAGTAGATCTATCTGTCAAGTGGCTGTTAAGAAACTCGCAGGCTTGCAGGCTGGCCAGCAAGAAACTTGGAGGAACTGAGCTGTGAATGGAGCCGTAACCGACTAACAAGTTATCCCTATACCTGCAGGCATGCAGTGTGATGCATGTCACAATAGGCATAACACACCCATATACCAAACAATAATTATCACTCTGAGCCTATTGGCATAACAGATGTGTCACGATCGTGAGACCAACCCTGCTTACAAATTACACTGGATACTAAGGATTTATTCCCGTAGCTATGCAAAAAACGTTACTTAAATAACGTCTGGCGCTAGCTAGGGTCCACACCACTTTAATGCCGTCATTGTTTGTTGTGTCGTCAGGCATGCCTGGCGCTATCCCTTAAGTGTATCGTACCGTATCATCAAAGACAGCTGGCCATCTTACTCAAATAGGGCTTTCAACTGCAAAATCATAACGTGAAGCAACTTGGAAGAATGTGTATGTATGCGAAGTGTATCCTGTATTGGGGTAATGCATGCAGGCGATAGTGCTGGTTCGAATCCCATGTTTTGGTTTAAAAAAACTTAGGAGAAATGAAAAAGAAGCGTCATTTCACGAAGGATTTATTGAGACGGATATCGGATCCACATTAAGTGTTCGTAGGAATTCCGCCTGCAGATCGGTCAGTAGATCCAGATCTGTCTCGCTAGAAGGTCTCCAGAAGCTGGAGTTATCAGTAGGGCAGATTTTTTCTTCCGTCGAGAGTTTATGTCCCGATTCGATCTGGCATCGAGGAGTCCGATCTGTGGGTATCGATGTTCGAGGGCGAAAAAGAGTCAGGCCCGGACAAGACGCAATCTCTGGCAGATTATGTGACTCGCTCTCATTCTACCTGACATCCTCTACAGTTCTAACTCATACCTCTCCTCCCTAACATCAGACCAAAGACGGTTCCATCAGTTCGAATAACATGCATGATGAGCTAGGCAAAAACACATAGCGTAGGGCACTGAGCTTTCAAGCTCTCTCGTCATGTTCAGACACACATTCAGACACATATTCACACGCACATTCAGATACACGTGTGCGCCCAGGAACCATGCCGACCAAAATTAATATCTACTCGAAGTATCATAAAACTGGTTTCCTCACCTGACCAGTCACGTTCGGATCCGCACCGGCATCGAGCAAATACTGTGAACACTTAGCGGAGCCTCGATTAACAGCTACATGAAGAGCACTACCGTAGAAGGGTTTCTGCAGGTAAAATACCAAAAAGTGGAAATGCAACATACAGAGCAGATACTGAAAGTGCTGACATTAGAAGGCAATTCTAATGACTTTTGAGTCGATGTGGGTCCCTAGTTGCCGGAGTGGTGGTTCTGTGCAGTACCGTAGTCTGTCAAACTGGCCACTGGATATGATGCACACACCTGGTACAATTTACCCTGTCATGAAGATTACAAGGGATTCATTCAACACCCTACTTTTTCGTGTGCTCCGGATGGCAGTCGTGAGTCAGTCAAGTGTCAAGTTCGGCAAGAAGCGTGTGCTCCTCGTTGGAGCAACCAACTTCAACCCTACTTTAAGTAAAATGTTAACAGTGAACACCTACAAATATTGCGGAAAAGTTGTATCCATCTTAACTGCAGCTGATAATGGAACCTGGTGGGAAAGACCTCATTCTCAATCAGGCACGTGCACTGTATGTGTTTTTGGTGTCCGGAAACCACCTTACTTTGGCTAGTCTAGAAAAAGAAAAGGTGTGTCCACTCAACCAACCACAGGCAGTTTACGCAACAGTAGCTATGTCCGTATTTCAAAGTGACAGAAAGAGAGTTGCTTCACTTTCCGCTCAATCTTCTCTCCTTCTTCAGTGGAGAGTAGCTACAGAGATCGATATCTGATCCGCTCCTGGACTGGCAGTGACGTTCAAGAAGTCTGCTTTGTCTCGAAACTTGAGCCAAGCACGCACGATGCACATTGAGTTGATGGACAAGCCAGAGAGCACTTTTGCAACCTTGCAACTGATTACATCACTGATTACATCACTGATTACATCACTCCCTTGAGGTTCACTGTAAACCGTGTATGTATACTCTCCGGCATCCAGACATCTTTAGGTGTGGCCTGGCCTCACCTGGCGTATGTATACTCTCCGGCATCCAGACATCTTTAGGTGTGGCCTGGGCTCACCTGGCTAGGGCCCAACTGCGGCCGGTACAAAAGTCGTTTTCGAAGAATGCTCTGGTATTAAGCGTTACATCGGCGCCATGGCTCAAGTCACGCCATGCTAAGTCATTGTTTACCACATAACAAGTAGACACGAAAATATTCCCACAGCACGAAATTGTCCAGGCACATCCGGAACCTCAATAAATCAAACACCCAGTACGAAGTCTATTGGAGAGTAAAGTATGGTGGCCGTGCGTACATCAACATCACCTAGTGATATTCCCCTCTGCACTAGAGAAAAGTACATACTCAACAGTCAACACGATAAATCAACATCTAGTCTCAACCAGTGCTCGGAACTCATGTCCAAATGCTGGCATGAGAACAAATATTTCCTCAGCCTCGACAATGTCACATAACTGTCCCCACCTCGACAGCCTCCTGACTACACCAGCCACACACCCTGCACCGATATAACCATGACTGCTAGGCTTGAAACTAACACAACCGACACAGGGCATGTATTATATACTTATTTGTTGCCAGTACAAGTGGCCCTGCCATAGGTTTTTTAAAGGTTATCAGTGTTCTTCTAAACCATGGTCCATTACACTTACACTTATAGTACACTTACACTTACAGTACACTTACACTTATAGTACACTTACACTTACAGTACACTTACCGGAGAAAGAGTGAAACTGTAATACCCGTGATGGTTCAGCATGTGTTTGTCAACAGTGCTTGCCAAGAACTTGACAACAGACGTAGCATTGTAGCTACAGGCATCCTTCAGTAACCTTGCCTGCAAGAAAACATAACACAGCACAGTAGAACACAGTGCACTACAGTTAATAACAAACAACAGAGTAGAGAGCACTAAACAACTAGTCTTTTCAGTACTAAGGACGAGAATATCTCGCCATGAAACAATTCAGCATGCCAAATAGCAAATGCCAATAAATATAGTGGAGTGCCGACTACTCACATCCCTTGGTGTGCAGGCTGTTTCCAGGGGGTTTGAATAAGGAGAATGGTCGGATAAGGGAGCAGTCACACATGATCTAGACCATGCACATTCCCTCATGTCAATCCATGCATGCACCGACGCCACAGAGCCAGGCAGAAGGACGATCCAAACAGAGTAAAACTGGAGAACGTTTTCGTTCCATTCTCGCAGGGCTATACAGGGAATCATGAAATAACTAAAAGACTACAAATATAGGCAACGAGTTTGTAAGAGATTAAATCTAACATTTCACGAAGCGGGAATGAAAGGGGTGGAAATAGGTGACTAAAAGGGCACATTTACTCAGTGTGTAAAAAAGAAAGAAGGCAGGAGAACACGTCACATTGTACTACTAACACACTCATGAGGACTAGCACCATGTAACCGCAAAAACAACACATTCTCATTTTGTACACACAGCTCAAGGAACGGCTGGCAAATGTACAATACTTCCAAAACACACACATACACACACAACCACACACACACATACACACACACACACACACACACACACACATACACACACAACCACACACACACATACACACACACACACACATCCACACGCACACTTCTTGGACCTTGAACGCCCATCGCTAGTGCGATGATAGCGTACGAGCTGAGCAATATGGGGAAAGACGCTTCAAATCACGCGCCCGGCGAAATGTTCCTCCACACATGCACTGAAAACTCTTCGCTGGCCCTGGCGGAGGACGACGAGACAACTTCCTCCACTCCCCTGTCTTGTGCCACATAATACCAGTCACTTCAGGCGCGTCGGAAGGTATTTTAGTGTGGTACGGTCAGCCATCTGAAGTACAATTTACTCGTGGAGGAGTGGTGGCTGAGCCGAAAATTTTGGAATTTTAGATCCAAGATCAGTGTATTTTGTTGATTCACGGGGTATCTGGGGCAAAAAGTGGTACGGTCAATACCGTAGTGACCGTACCGTGTGCGACGCCCCTGCACTTTCCGGGATCCCCGCCTTGGCCAGGTCAGATCTAGCGACATCACGCCATCTCTTCATGGGGCCATGACGGAAGTTCCCTGAAGAGGACCTGCTTGGGGAGACTGCTGGAATCCATCCTGGCAATGTGACCAAGCCAGCAAATACGATGGCACTACAGAAGCCTACCGATGTCTGCTGTGAGTCTGACTCACTTTGCAGTCTCCTCGCTGGTGAGCCTGTCCTGCCACTGTGTCGAGCGGGATACACCAAGGATGGAACGACTGCAAGCGTGGTGGAAGACATTCAGCCGCTTTCAGTGCCTAGGTCTCGGCACCGTAAAACAGAGCGGTGAGTACACTGGCCGTATACACCAGTCTCTTCGTGCATATAGATAGGGGCTTGTAATGGGAAATGGGCATTTCAAGGAGCCAAAAACAAGTGACGCCTTAGCCAGCTGCACTGCTACCTCGCCATCCAGTGAACCGTTATCGTCCAGAGAACCACCGAGGTAGGTAAAACTGGCCATCTGATCAATCACATCACCAGACTCCAGATGTATGCCACACCGAGCATAGTCGTCACCCACGGCCATTACCTTCGTCTTGGAAGTGCTCACGGTCAAGCCCCAACGCGCAGTGCAGCTAACAAATTCCCTTGCTAGGATGTCCACACCACACTGAGACGGTGCGTAAAGCGCTGCATCATTCGCAAACTGTGACTTCGTTATCTCGGTCACCAGTAGTTTCGATTTGGCTGACCGATCGCCAACAAGCTTCCATCCGATGCGGTAGCGCAGAGTTACACCAGGCACCGTCAATCTGGAACGCCGCGAGGCAACCACCGTGGCAAAGTATATATCGAACAGAGTAGGTGCCAGGGTACAGCTCTGCCGGAGACCATTGGCCACAGAGATGGCATCTGTTAGCCCTCCAGCAACGCACACCCTGGCCTCCATGCCGTTGTTGAGACTATGGATTAATCCAATCATATGCTGTGGCACATCAACTCTCTCCAAGACCAGCCACAACGCATGATGGGGAATTGAATCATACGCCTTTCTGTGGTTGACAAACAGGACGTACAGCTGCGAGGTATGCTTGATGGATTTCTCCAAAAGTTGGCGAGCCACAAACATCATGTCGAAGCAACCACGGCCCTTCCAAAAACCACACTGCGACTCTAGCAAGATGTCCTCTGCCAGTTTTCATTAGACGAACCTGGATGACACGAGTAAACAACTTCCCAACAACGTCCAGAAGACTTATGCCACGCCAATTGTCACATCGGCAAAGGTCTCCTTTCTTTGGAATCGTGACAATCACGCTACTCAGGAGGTACTGAACCGCTCAACCACACCGCCCGAACAATATTAGATATACACTTATGCAAGCCTTCCCCGCCGTAGCGAAGGAACTCTGGAGCAATCTTAGACTCCCCCACAGCTGTACCCATGTTAAGTCTCCGCATTGCACACATCACTTCGTCGAAATCTGGAGGGAGATCTAGACTCACACGTGACTCCTCAGTAGGCATACTCTGTAACACAGTGATATCAACATTACTAACAATGATGAATACCTGCGCACAGTGGTGACTCCAGCAATCCCTGACACTATCAGGGCTGGACGTTAAAACACCTTGATTGTAAACCGCTGATATGGTAACCAGTTGTCTCCCAGAATGTACTCCCTGAAGTTCCTGATGGATTTCCAGTGCATGCAACCATCCTTTTGCGCGTTCTCTGCGTCGGTAGCAACCTCCGCAATCCACCTCTCGGTTGACTGACTTTTGGGCAGCCCGGAATTCCCTTCGCGTTGAGGCACTTTCGTTCGCGAGCATACGCTCATGTATCAACTGCTTCTTCTCAATCAAGTGCTCCAAGATTGATTGGCTCTCCAGAAACCAGTCGGGCTTTCTGCGTTTGCCGTGGCCCAGCACCCTAGACGCAACACCTTGAATATCAGTACATGCAGCGCCCCAGGCCTCCTTGACATTGCGATTCTCATCTATGTCAGGAGCATGTTCGCAGGCATTCTCCATCTCCTTACGAAACGACTCTCGGACGTCACCGCTCTGTTGCCCAAGCACGCGGCACAGGGCTTCCTCCGCTTGTTGGACTGTGTCTTAAGCAGGACGAAATCGAGTACAAGTCTGTTGCAAACCTAGAAATGATCCGTCCAACACACAGTGCTCCGCGCATGACACGTCCCAGCAATAACAATGCTGGACAGAGCACTTCCCGATGCAATCTATTAAATGTTCGTTCCGAGTTGCTGGGTGTACCCAAGTTCCATGGTTACGTTTCTTCTTCCTGAACCAAGTATTCATGATGGACGGATCATGTTCCTAAGGGTGTGCAGACTCCACTGTAGCAACTTCATGTTTCACACAGTTATACACCATTACTCAAAAATCCAAATTTTATTATTGTGGACAGATCATGGATTGCACAAAACGACAGGAAGTTTCCCCCAGCCTCATTGCAGAATCCAAAGCCATACCGCCCACGCACACGGCTCCAGCCATCACCGTCGCCACGCATGTCATCGAAACGAGCGACATCACCAAACATCAGGTCGCATGATGAACCAACACGAGCATTGAAATCCGCTAAGAGTAGGAGAATATCGCCGGAATCGACTGTGCTCATGACTGACTGTAGATCACTGAAGAAATGATCCTTGACTGCCGGTGTGGCCTGGCTTGTTGGAGCGTAGGTGATGACGACTGTCACGAAGAACCTTGAGATTGCTACCCTGTCGTATCTTGTAGCCCTTCGCTCCGACTAGAATCCGTGCAGTTACAATGCGCAAACTGATAGCTTTCCATTCCTCGCCACTGCGCCGCCACAACTCGGTCGCCTTCGCATTCAACAATATTCCCATGCCTTCATTCCGTCGTCTAGGCTCACCTTCGCCGGGCAAGGCACGTCCAGAGTGGAGAAAAACGCCACCACCACTGACAGGCCAAACGTAGTTCCCAATACCAGCATGTCTCCTGTACACCAGCCACATCGAAATCGAAATTGCGTAGTTCGTTTGAAAGAATATCGAGCTTCCTGTCGACAGGCCCGTCACCGACAGATGTACATCCTCTACAAGTCCTAACGTCCTCACTATCCTCCACCAGAGAGCGAACATTCCACGTCAGAGCAGCCAGAACGTTCCCTTTCCCGACACTCCTTCTTTTCGCCACCATTTCCAAAATTCAAATTCAAAATACCGCTCCACTCGTCTTGTGCAGCGTGTTGTTCGAAATCCACCAGGCAACTTGCACGGCTACCTAGTGGGCCACCACAACCATGGCCTGGTCTACACCACACGGCTGCTTAGGGTGGCTACAACATCCTGAAGAAGGAGCTCACAAAAAGCAAACCTTCCACTCCACACTCAGCATTACACCACGCACACACACACGCACACACGCGCGCACACACGCATGCACGCACACTCACACACACACACACACACACACACACACACACACACACACACACACACACACACACCTGCCCAGTCCTGTAGAGCCACTATCACTAGGGTCAAGTGGGCTCCAGACGGGCAGCAAAGGGAGAAGAAGCACACCACCTGCTGGCACTGCAGATGCAAGACCAGTGGTAACCGACGAGAGCACATACATATATATGCGGGAACTTATCCCGTTTTCTTGCTGTTGGACGATTGCAGAGTATCAAACAGCAATGCCGATTGCGTCTCTAGATTGCAAATGTTACAGTGAACATTGCAGCAACTTTGAGGGGTAGTAGCAATGGTGGCAGCAGCAGATGATGTGATCGGCGCTGGACATGGGATAATAGTGGGGTAACGATGCACAGACAAGAAACCGCCGCTCCCGAACCAATGATGACACCGAGGTCACTGACATGTACCTTTTCTGCTCTGAAACTTGCTTCTGCCATTCAACCGTGCAGTTGTGCCTGGCAAGGTCGTCTGGAAAGGTCGCCCTGACATGCCTAGTGCCAGGAGCTTACGCAGCAAGTCACCGTTGCGGGTATGGGGATATCTGGGGCGTCCGAGGTGTAAGCCAACCTCCAGTCTGGGCGAGAATCACATACCACTCTGTACCTGTCCGCTTCAAGGTCTCGTGAGCGGAGGTCCTTTTAAAACAGCACATTCATCCCACCGGGGGTATATATTGGTAGACGTAGGATCTTCAGGGGAAGACATGCGATGATCATTTAGCTGTGCGACATCAAACCGGCGCTGGACACTACCTTTGCTCTGCGCTCCGCGCCACACCGGCGACTGCAGCTGCATAGCCATATTACAGCAGCTGATAGTCGCTGCCGCATTCAGCACTCCTTATGACAGCCACTTATGTACATAGATGGCGGTCATCCTGCCGCAGAAGTATGGAATCTATGCAGTGCCACTGCAGCGTGCCTGGGTGCTGCCAGGTCTGTTTGAAAATGTTCCATTTAGGGAAAC